ATGCTTTTTAGCTTAAAGTTTTTTTCCAGATTTAAACAAAAAACAAAAAACTTTTCCCCCCAGCTCTAACTATACTTATTTGTTGCAGAAAATTTAGAAAATGTAGAAAATATGAAGAAAATTAAATGTCTTCTGATCCTCCATCCAAAAATAACCACAGTAAACACTCTGGGGTAAAATTGTAAAATATTTTATTTTTATATGTGTACTTTTGTTCACTTAATAGCACACGTCACAGGGATGTACTCTTGCCTGCTTGTTAAATTTACCCATGTATTATGAATGTGTACTTAGGACGGGAGTCACGGCTTGTGGATGCAGTTTTGTACACAAATGTATTTTATGTAGTTTTTCTTAAAATGATAACCGAACAGAAAGGGAGACTATGAAGTCCTGAGTCAGCAAAGGCATTCCTTAGCGAAGCTAATATTGTCCAGCTGCATCACTTAACTGTGATTTGACTCAGTGTAGGGATAGTGTTTAGAGGCCCAGAAGAAAAGATGATAGCTTACTTGGCTCTCTCCAGTTTCAGTTGTCGTATCTGTGCTTTAGCAAGAGTTGGTTATCCGTGCATCGAAAATTGAACTTGCTGGCAAGGGCCTCTGCAAATGTTCTGTGGTTTCAATTAAGGGAGAACTCTTTGCTCCCGGTAACAAACTTGTCGATGGCAAAGTTGACATTTGCTTATGAAAATAAGGAGCTTGACCTGTTTCTGTCTTGGAAGGAGGGCCAGCTTCTTCAGCAGTGTCTCCTTTACTTCTTTCCCATCACTAAGGCACCCCGCCCCCCCCGCAGCTCCCCCCGGATGGTGAATCATGATTCCCGTTCCAGAGTACTCGATCTTTCCCGAGCTCTTGAAGCCAAAGATACCCTCAATGAAAAGATCATACTTTCTAAAGTTTGGAGGATTTACAGAAACTTTTTGAGAGATTTCTCTCCAACCACCAGTCATTTAGAACAGAAAAGGGCAGCCTGAGGTTTTTCCCTGGGTTACCTAAAAAGGAAAAGATAATAATTGGGTGGAGTTACCGTAAAACTGCAGAGAGGCTTTTAAGGATGGTTTGAGGTTAGATTCTCTGTTTTTAAAATTAATTGGTTTCTCTTCTTGGACAAATTACATGATTTCAAGTCACGGTATAGGCGTTAATCGCCTCAGCGAGGGTGGTTCTCGAGAGAGGCTGGCGCTTGCTGTCCGCGTCCTGTGTGCTGCAGCAGGTAGGAGCCCAGATGCAAAGGTACTCTGATGCTCGGGCTAATAGGAAGGATTCTGGCGTTTCAGAAGTGAAAACACTTTTAAAAAGTTGAAGTCTCAGTGGCTTCTACCCTAACGCTGTCTAAGATTGACAGTAAAACAGAATTCTCCTAGATCGCTCGAGTGTCAGGTTTTTAGCCAGAAGTGTGAGGGGTGGAATTCCATAATGTCTGCACACTGGTTATCGTCCTGTGACCGACCACTGCATGTTCAGCCCACACTCCCCTGTGCCCTTCATTTTCTCTTTCACTGTCTTACTTTATTTGCACACTCCTGGCTTCCCTAATAAGTCGCACTTACATAATGCTTCCTGCGTGCCGGGCGGACGTGTGAGCGCTTTAGGTCAAAGAATCCACCAACCCTCACAGCAACCCTATGAGGCAGGTAGTGTTATTATCCCCAGCTTACAGACAAGGAAGGGGAGGCACACCGTGGCTTATCCCAAAGTGGAGCCAGGACTCTCATCCCAGGAGCCTGATTCTAGAACTCACGCTCTGAACCTGTGTGTTGTCTCTTGAGGAGGTGGTTCCTTTGGAGGCAGACATTGTCTTACCCACCCCATGTCTCCAGTAATGTCGTGGTGCTTTAGTATCTTAATGGCTTCTGGGGCTGGCTCCTTCTGTACTTACCATTTCGAACTTGGTCTGTTTTATTAATCACATTGTAGTTCAGAAGCAATGGGGTAGAAGCTAAAGTTAGGTTGATTTTATTCACTATTCATGTATAATCAATTATGAGATAATGCAGACTGTTTATAACTTAGATTTCAGAAGTACTGTGAATGGTAGTGTATTTTAACTCCATCACGCCTGTGAATTTTACCTCTTAATAATTGTTTTCTGGTTGTGGCTTGAGTAAGTCAGGCTCTTTTTCAGTGTGTAGGGATCGTAGTAGATGGTAGTGTGTGTCTTATGGAAAGTGACACTTTAAGTCTCTTTTTTCATGCAAGTGAGCAGGGTGTATTGACTTCTTTTATGTGCCAACTATTGAAATTAATTACTTTTTCAAAGAATTGTTGTGACTGCCAAACAAAAATCATTTCTACTGAAGGAAGGAATCGGGCTCCTTGACCTGGTTGGGGGTCCTCTTAGTACATCTTCATTGTCACCAAGTTCCTGGGGTTGAGAAGCCGTCTCCCCTCTAGATACCACGTCAGAAGGGGGTCTTCAGGGTATTGTACATTCTGTCTTGGTTGTAGTTCATTCTCATTTTTGAAAGAGACTTGTCTCTTTATGGCAAGGGTGGGTTTCTTTTTTAATTAATTGCCTTGCTCCGGCCACGTTCAGTTTTCAGGAGCTTATGTGAAAATTCGTGAAAATGCTGTACAGTCAGTCCCTGTGACAGCATCTAGAATCCATATATGCCGAATTCTTTGTTAAAGAGTTTTGTAAATGGCCTAAGACTATAGGTCCATTTTAAATCCATAGGCATTAAGGGAAAAACATTACTGCTACTGTCTTACATCATTCTGAGATGTACATTTCCCTGCCCCCACATTTTAACATCGCTGAAATCAGGATGCATTTTACAGTTGCATCATGTGATTAAGAATGGCACTTTTTTTCTTTGTTATTGGTACCGAAAACAGTGGTGCATCTTATAGTTGAATCCTAGTTTTAATGAAAAACGATGTATGTGTAGTCCTTAGATTTTTTGAGAAGCATGTTTGACAAAAAGTTCGTTGAATTCTTCCTCTATTTGAATGAGAGAAGTTTGAAGTCATTTTGTACTCCTTACAATTTGGGTTAGGAATTGAATTTAAAAACCAGTAATTTCTTTTTAAGTGCATCATTGTAGATTGTTTATAAAATTACAAAAATAATACTGTGCTTTAGAAATTTAGTTTTGTAGCTGAAAAAGTTCTGGAGGCAGAGGATGGTGATGTTGAAGTATGATGGGGATGTGTTTAATGCTCCACTGAACATTATTCTTAAAAAAATGGTTAAGATGGTAAATTTCAAATTACGTATATTTTATCACAGTTAAAAATTTTTCCAAAAAAAGTAATATTATGCTTATAAAAATTTTCCTCCATTTAGAGATATACAGAATTAAGAAAGTTCTCTTTATCCCTTCCCCCGTCTCTCTCATTTCCCTACTTCTGTACCCCTTCACCAGAGGTTTGGTGTGTACCTTTTTTGACTATTTCTCTCCCTAGGACTTTCCATTTAAGGTATGTGTGGTTTTCATTGACCCGTCAAGTTCACTTTTCACCACCACAATACATATAAGTGGAACAGATAAGTAAAATAAAAACATATTGGGGAGACAGTCACCTGGGAGGGGTCCTTTTTTGATCTCATTAGGGCTACATTGACTGCTTCATTCACATATTGTGCTGTTTTTCCTAGAAGTGGTCTATGTAAGTGTATTTTGTAGCTGGACTGCTTCTAGTATAAAGAAGGCACAGGGACAGATGTAACATGGTAGCCTTAAATCAGTTGTTCAGCAGCAGGAGTCCTGACTTTCTCCTTCTGCAGTGGATGGAACAGTTAGCCCTGATGACACCATGTCTGGGTGGCTGCAGCAGTTCTCTCCTGGTGGCCTCAGCTGGCTCCTTCACCCCTGAGGACTGCGGGAAGCCCAGCTTTCATCTGTGTCTGGTCTGCCCCATTCTTTCGGTAGCTGGTATTGTTGAGGGGCCCCAGCTCTAGGGGCCCTGCTCCCCTCGCGGCAACCTGCCCTGTCCGCACGTGCCACTTTCTGGGCCTGTTTCTCATCCTTGATGTTCACTTGGGTCTTGGGAAAGCGATCTGTGCACTGTGTATCTACTTTGTGTTCTTTTTGTATGCTCTTCATGGCTGTGCACCTTTCTTTCAGGGTGCTGGTTTTAATTCATGCCAGTAAGCACACTGGTGTGTGACTGCCTTGACGAACGTCTGTCTCTCCTGATGACAGCTCCGTGAGTTGGCCGTCAGTGTTTTGCTTGCTCTCTGTGCTTCACCCTGGCTTTGCACAGACTTGACACTTGATGTGCTTTCAAAGAAGCTTTGTTGAATGAAGAATTTGATTTTTTTTTTAATTTAATTTTACTTAAATTCAATTTAATTAACATGTAGTGTATTATTAGTTTTGGAGGTAGAGTGTAGGGATTCATCCATTGTATATAACACCCAGTGCTCATTGCATCAAGTGCCCTCCTTAATGCCCATCACCCAGTTACCCCACCTCCTCTCCAGCAACTCTCAGTATGTTTTCTATAGTTAAGAGTCTCTTATGGTTTGTCTTCCTCTCTGATTTCTTCTTATTTTACTATGCTAAGCTAAGCGAAAAAAAAGTCAATTAGAGAAAGACGGTTATCAAATGATTTTATCATATGTGGAATTTAAGAAATAAAACCAGAGGATCATAGGGGAAGAGAGGAAAAAAAAAAAGAATTTGATTTTTGATTATCTTACGGAGTGGAGAAGTTTGTGGGTAGGGACTTGATAAGTATCAGAAAATTAACAGGGAGATCTAGACCTCGGTGCCCTGCCAATTTGGTTTTCAGACACAGCTAAAACTTAGTTATCCTGGAAATATTTGAACACTTCATCATTATTTTTTGTTGGGATTCTTTTGAAAATGAATTTGGGCTTTGCAATACCCTGTAGCCTGGGTTTCCGTTAAGGGGAGGCAAACAGATCAAGTAGTTTTTTTATCATTCCTTTTGAACACACAGTCATTCAGCATGAGTAGATATGTAAATTTCTGGAAATGAGAAGCTTGAAATAAACTGTTCTCTCACTGATACTTATTTTAATTCCAGAACATGGTCCAAGACAATTCCTGGGAAAGTCGAATTCTTCTCTAGTGAGGGTTCAGACACATCGATACCAATCCCGATAGTGCCACTACGGGGCGTGGACGACTCCTACCCACCCCAGAAGAAGTCTTTCATGATGCTCAAGTACATGCATGACCACTACTTGGACAAGTATGAATGGTTTATGAGAGCAGATGATGACGTGTATATCAAAGGAGACCGTCTGGAGAATTTTCTGAGGAGTTTGAATAGCAGTGAGCCCCTCTTTCTCGGGCAGACAGGACTGGGCACCACGGAAGAAATGGGGAAACTTGCCCTGGAACCCGGTGAGAACTTCTGCATGGGGGGGCCCGGTGTGATCATGAGCCGGGAGGTTCTCCGGAGAATGGTACCACACATTGGAAAGTGTCTCCGGGAAATGTACACTACTCACGAGGACGTGGAGGTGGGAAGATGTGTCCGGAGGTTTGCGGGGGTGCAGTGTGTCTGGTCTTATGAGGTAAGAACAGAAAAAAAAAAAAAATCTGTTAATTTCATCATTAGTTCTGAACCAATGCTAGGAAACGAGTGATGATGTCTTCTTTAAGGCTCGAAGTTGGTATGAAGGTATTATATATTTTTACCCAAGTTTTTAAAATTTGAATTCCTTCTTTGTACCTTTTATCCTTCATTTTTAGGACATACTTTCTATTCTTTGACCCGATACCTTAGTTAATAAATAATGGCATTTGGAGCCCAAAGAAATGATATAGTTTACTGTAGGTAACAGCAATATTGTCATGATTATCCAGAACATTCATCTAATCTGACTTCTGCTGATTCTGCCGGTGTGATTCTAAGTGTGTCAAGGTTTCCTTTCCCTCTTCTCCCGAAGGCCTGACTTTTCTGGTCATGTTGACCCACACAGTTTTGAAACTCAGCATGTTTAGAATTCATAAAAATGAGTAACGATTAAAAAAAAAAAAGCCAATTGCATCTGACTTTGCATTTATTTAAAACCTTGACTTTTTAGGCAGTTATTTGTGGCCTGGAAGTTTGCAATATGGTTGTTCTCTTCCGAATAGTTGGTAGGCAGTCTTGGAGTTATCTTGACACACAAGTGCAATTTTTGGTAGGAAGTCTACTTGTAGAGGTTTTCTCTTTAAATGTTCTTGAGAACATGACTTCACTTTTGACTTTTTTCTGTTTTTATTGGCAGATGTGCACCTCTTGCCTGCAGTTACAGGATCTGATATTAGTCAGAGTGGAAAAAATTATTTAGGTTGTGTTGTGTTTAGATTGATAAACTACCCATAGTTGTGAGGAACGGAGGGAACTTGTAGACCTTTGCCCAAGAAAAAGAAACACACTTTCTGATGTAAACTGTTAGCTTTTGTTATGAGTTAATTTTCTAAAGTGCTCGAGGGACGAAAGAGTATTCTTGCCCGTACTTGTCTCCCCCCCCCGCTCCCCGCCAGACTTGCTGTTAAAGGTTTCCTAATAACTGTTTCTTTCGCTTGAACTCTTAGGGAAGTGGACATTTTCAAGAATACAGGAAGTAGTTTTCATGTTCATTTCTAATTATAAAAGATACATTTTAAATCTCAACTGTGATTGGAGTGAAACCTCTGATCTTTATGGGTCTCCTCCCAACCTTGCATGCAGGGAGGATTGGTCACTGGATCTAGGGGGGAGGTTGCTGTGGTCATGAATTTTTGCAGCGAGGAAGCCTCTTTAGGGATGTCCTGCAGTTTCCAGCAGAATACAGAAGGCAGTGTTTCTGCGTTTTCCCCATTCTTAATTTAGTAGTTACAACCTTAGCATGTTTCATTATGGTTAAAACATGTAGTGCCTTGTGTATTTTGGGATGTTTTATGCTATTCCTGATCTCTGAGAAGCTAGCCTTCCTGCTGGAATTGTGGAGGATAGGCCTACTTTTGAGAGAGAATTTTAAAAAATATCTGTCTTAGTGTTGTAGTGCTATTGTATCTTACATGCTGCTAGATAGACAGCCGCAGAGCCAGTACCTTATCAAGAATTCTGACCTAGCATTAGTGCCAAGACATTAGAAAGTATCGTCGTAGGGGGGCTGCAGGGATTGGGAGATAGTTTCAGCACTTTTTTCCCCCATTATCTTGTAAGAACCAAAATTCTCTCGGGCCCGAAGTTGGGATGCTGGAAATTTTCCCTTCTGGATGCTGGGAGCTACCTCTTCGACCAGAAGCACCTGCAAAGGGATCTGGTGGAGGAGGAAGCTCCCTCCCTGGGTGGTTGCCCATCCCTGCCTAGGATCCCCGAGGAGTGGAATGTGGAGGCCTGTGGGCAGTGTGGGGGTGGTGTCCCTGCTGCTTTTCTTGTGTTTAAGTGTCTGATGATGACAGAGCTTTTCCTAGGTACTGCCCTTCTGTGAGCTCCTTTTATGGGAGATTATCTTCTCCCAGAATGTGGCTTGTCTTTTCACTTTAAATGTGATACTCAGCATGCAAATTGTGAATTTTAAGTGTAGTCTAGTTTCTTTCTTTTCCTGTATGGTTTGTGTTTTCTGTGCCTTGTGTAAGAAAGCCTTCTCTTCCTTGCGTGGCAGGAATTGTCTTCTACATATTTTTCTGCAGATTGAAAGTTTTGTGTTTTGTGTGCAGTTCTTCATCTTTTTCATTTTTAAGAATTATATTTGTGGGCACATGTACCATTTTATTAGACCTTAAGTTTCTTTTTGCTTTTTTGGTAGTGCCTTAAGTCCCCTTAACGTAAGTCATTATTAGGATTTATCATTGTGTTCACCACTCAGGTGAGAATAATCCCTCATGTGGATGAGAACTTTTATTAAACTTCCTGTAAATGTAGTTTCTCCATCAAGGCTCACATTATGAGAAATGACTGAGGTGGAGTCTTACGTTAAAGACGATTACGTTAAGCTTTGGGTCTCAGAAGGTGCTTATTTAGCTCTTACAAATCTAGATAGAGGGTGTACTGGTACTGTTTTTTTTTTTTTTTTTTTTTGCAAGTTTGAAATAATGCCTTGGGATTACACTTACTTAATTAAAATGACTCGCGAGAAACACCTGTTAAAATCAAAATCCAGATTCATTTCTAAGCTTGTTTTGATTTTTATTGTTGGTTATTAATATATGGCTTTAAAAAACTTTATTTGGAAATAATTTTAATTTTATGGAAAAACAAAATAGCACAAAGCACATCTGTACACCTTATGCTCAGATTAACCTGTTAACATTTTACACCACTTGCATTATCATTTCCCTCTGTTCCTGAGTGTATCTCCCCAATCCTGCGTACGGGGACATAGGGCTGTCCCTCATTTAAGAGTAACTAAACATTATGGCTCTTTACTTGAACTAACATCGATGCATTTTGACTAAGAATAGGGAAATGCTGTCATGTAACCATAGTACACATGGAAACTTTAACCTAGTGTTGATACTCTGATTTTATCTGCTGATGCGGTACAGTCCCGCATCACAGGACCCAGCCCAGGGCCAGGGATTACATTTGATTGTTGTCGTGCCTCTAAAGCCTCCATCAGCCCAGACCCTTTGCACAGGTCTCTTTCTTTAATCTTTTGTGACTTTGGCATTTTAGATAAGTGGCTTTAAATACTTTATTTTCATAATAAAAAATGTGTTACCGTATAGGAAACCATAAGGAGGTCTTTAGTAATGCTCCTCACGCTTACTGCAACGTCCCGGCCCAGAATGAGTGCGGGCCGGGAGGCTGTTAACCGTATCAGCAAAGTGGAGCGGGCAAACCTGCTTCCCCCTTGGCTCATGCGGGCTCGGCCTTACAACTCAAGTTACATGGGACTTTTTGAAGAAGTGTTGTTATTATTCTTATTTTTCAAGATTTTATTTATTTGAGAGGGAGAATGAGTGAGATAAAGAAGGAGCCGAGGAAGGAGCAGGAGGAGAGGGAGAAGCAGACTCCTCGCTGAGCAGAGAAACAGGGATGTGGCGAGATTGCGGAACTCCAGGACCATGACCTGAGCTGAAGGCAGGTGCTTAACAACTGAGCCACCCAGGTGTCCTTTGAGGAACGTTACTGAAAAATTTGAAACAATTTACTTAGGCAAATAAATGAAATACCATACAACTCTTTTAATAAGGGAATAAAAAGACAATTGATCTAAGTAATCTTTTCATTTTGCTTTTGACTTTTTATTGAAGTGTATATTATACCCATGGAAAAGTGCACAGATCATCAGTAAGTGTAAAGCTCAGTGGATTTTCTTAAACAGAACATGGCTAGCTAACCAGCAACCAGATCTTGACTTTTTTTTATTTTAATTCAACATTTGACTAGTAATGAAGGTATTTCGAGTAGAAAATAATTGTTAGTAATGAAAGTGGGAGCTAGGCATAGTAAGATTTGGCAACTTTCAAAGATTTATTTCATGCCATCACAGGGCTGAAAATTCAGAAGCTGAAAGAGTTTATCAGGACAAGTTTTCTCATCTCTGTCCACCAGGTTCCCCTCGGAGTCTTAACAGTCCCCCTGGCAGCCTTAACAGGTGTGCCATGTGCACATAAAAGCCACAAAGTCTGTACATACTCCCACATGTGTTGCTTACTATCCGTATCTTGCTGGTTTTCACTCCCAAGTCTTACGATTTTCCAGTTGCTACATAAGAATCTTCGTCTTTTTTTTTTGTTTTTAATGGACATTCAAGCTCTTTCCAGTTCTTTTCAGCAGTGTTTCTAATCAGTCCCTTAACCCAGTGTTTTCCGGCCTTTTTCACATCATGATACACACACTGAGGTATGTGGGGCCCCATAAGGCTCCTGCTACCCCACCCTCTACCCATGGCACTCCTCGACCCAGACCTGAAGGGATTGTCGTCTTGGCACAACTAGAGTGTCTGGGATACACCAGTATATACTGAGACACACCAGCCTGATGCTCTGAGTTAGCCAATATTCATTAAGCAAGCATTAGTGAGCCCAGTACTGGCTTTCTAAACAGGTTGGAAACTACAAAAGCACAGAACACAAATGGCCGTTTTTTTCCCTTAAGGAGGAGACTAAAATATTTATGAAATGGTTGAGAAAAATGTAAACGTGTAAAAACCCTGTGATAGTGATCTTAAGGATAAAACAGTACAGAGAAGGGGTAAGATCAGTGATGTTCTTTTTAAGGAAGGCATATCATCAAGGGAAACTGGGAGTTTAGAGCAAAATATGTAAAAAGAGAAGGTTTTCCTTGTTAGTCTGACCGGCTTAGAAAGGAATGTTGAACATCTTTGTATCAGAAGCCTGGGAATTTTTTTCTTTAATGATGGAAGGGATAATGTTTCAGCTGCGGGTTGTCATGGAGCTGGTTTGTGTCTAGTGGTGCCTTCTTCACACCTTTAGGTTGCTTGTTACCCTTACCTGGCTGACAACCAGGCAGGGCCCTAAACAGCTAGAATAGATGCGCCACATACAGATCACTGTCCCTGGCTGTTCTTTGAGGCAAAGCTCCCGTGTGGTTTAATACAGAGCCTTTTGTTCTGGCTTGCTGGTTCAATCT